GTTATTTGTAAATGGACGGTATTCAGGAATAGAGATATCTGAACCGGAGTCGTTTCCGTACTTCCTGCATCAGGAAAGTGAGTCACGCCCACTATCTCCCTGGTAAGTGTTGATTGACAGGAAAGAGTGATAGCCCACTGTCTCCCTGGTAACTTTTGATGGACAGAAAAGAGGGAAACGCCCACTCTCTCACTGGTAACCAGTTATTGACAGGAAAGGAATACACGCCCACTGCCTCACTGGTAACCAGTGATTGACAGGAAAGAGAACACGTCCACTACTCTAAACTGGTAACAAGTGACTTACGTGACACACAGCAACTAACATTGTGTTTAATATTGTTATTATTCCCCCGGCTCGGAGTTAGTAACCGCCATTATTAACGAATGTTATTACATTGTTATTACACAATGTAATAATTACGCACTGATACGGTGCCCAGTTTGGAGCGGAGGTGCTGTATCAGTTCATATTCTCCTTCCTATTTTTATTGTTGTATTATTTTTATTATTAATTTCCATAAACAACTAAAACCAGTTGCGTTTATATAGCGGACTCCACTTTGGGTGACTTCCACAGTACTTTACAATTGAGGAACATGATATTGCATAGTACATACATCGCAATGGACTACATACAACCATAATAAATACGAACCAAATAATTATATCATCTGCTAAATAAAACAGTGTCAAAAAAACTCTGAACACCCAGTGAATTCCTGTGTCAATACGATTTGATCTTGAAATATTAATAATAATCCTTGCATTTGATTTAGCGCCCATGAGAGTATGCTGTCAATTAACTTTACAGTATAATACGCGAAGCACATTGAGACTTCTAAAAGACATGATAAGGCAGAACTTCCAAAGCAAATTTAACTATTATTGTTAAAAAGCAAATTGGAAGCTTAAAGCGGGTTTCTGTCAAGAGAAATGTAAAAACAACGCTCCTTTACATTTATTCTGCTGTTGAGTTGAGCTGTTTTTCTCACTTTTAAAGTTAAATGTTTGAGCCTTTTCGCATGAGGTGTTGTGTGGTTTGTGCTTTATATCCGGTAATGCTGTTGAGGTGACACTATCACAAAGTTTAGCTACATATCACTCATTACCGTTTAATACTATTTACAATATTGAGCTGATCTGGACTCTAATGCCAGGAGAAAATCCCTTCTTTTTCCCAAATAGCATCACAGGATGTTTAATGTCTGTCCTGAGCACGGCACAAACTAGGGCTGAGTTTATCACTGCGTCTTAGATCGACAGCGAGAAAGAGAGGGAAAGAGAGACTAAGAATGTGAGAGGCAACGGGCGTAAGAGACAAAGATAGTGTGAGAGATTCAGAGAGAGAGTGAAAGAGAGAGAGAGAGCTTCAGAGACACAAAAGGAGAGCGAGAGCTTTCATAGTGTGAGAGAGAGAGGCAGAGTGTGAGAGAAGCTTCTAAGCTAACACCATGAAAGTGGTTCAGCTTCGCATCAGCTTTTGCCATTTGAAAGCATGTTCAATATTAACCCTTTCGTACAACTTAAATTGAGTTACTCTGGAATATAACAATTGGAGAAACTCCCTTCTCACTTCCCGAAAACGTCTCGGGATCTTAACAATTGTCTTCAACACAAAACAAATAAAGGTCAGTTGAACCTCTCATTTCAAAGCCTATGATAAGCAGACGGTAAGTTTGAGTGAGAGCGACTATGTTTGCGAGTGGCTTACAGTGTGAGAGAAGCTTAAGGGGAGATTGAGAGTGGTAGTGTGAGAGATACAGAGGGAGAGTGAGATTGGACGAGTGACAGGGGGACACATTGTGTTTGACAGAGAACTTGAGAGACACAGTTGGAGAGAGACTGAGAGTGTGAGAGACAAGGTGTGTGTGTGATACAGACTTTGAGAGAAACATATGGAGGGAGACTGGGAATTTCAGAGACACATACGGAGATAGACGGACTGAGAGTTTGAGCGACACAGTTTTCAGAGTGTGCGAGAGAATGCGAGAGTCACAGTCTTTGTGTGTGGGAGAGACTGAGAGTGTGAGCAAAGAAAAGTTGGAGCAACTCTCTTCGCTTCACGCTATATACTTGAAGGTTTTTTCTCAGAGCCACAGACCAAATCTCTCATTCTCTCTGTCTGAGTCGTAGATTTTCTCCGTATTAAAACTGATCAAAAGCGTGCAGCGAATTTTGTTTTAATTGCATTTTGTGTATGTTGGAGCTGCAGAGACGAGAGAGCAGAATTTAATCCAGCCGGGAATTTACGAAGGCATGCATGAGTGTTTTGGCTGCTGTGGATATGAGGTATGGATTGTGGCGAGAAATGTGGTGGAAGTGGAAAAAAAAATTTCCTGCTGAGGCAATGGATGTGGAGTAGAAAGCAAAGAGTTGATGACTAGATTTGCGTATTCTACTGATTAAAATTTTGCATTTGAAGTGCTACCTTCTAGTTCTCTGACTGAAATGCGCTTTGATTCTGAATAACATTTTGTCTGAAATATTGAATATGCCTCTTCACGTCTCGAAGACTTGAAGAAGCGCTATCTAAAATGCAAGTAATATTATTATTATGATTGAAAAGCATTATTGAAATTCCAAGCGTGTTTACGGCCCAGAGAAATTTAGAGTCAAACTCAGGTAAAGAAATTCTGCTTTTCTCTTCAGTTGATTTTTTCCATTTACAATTAAATATTTGAGTCGCTTTTTGCAGGGAGGTGTTGTGTGGTTTGTGCTTTATATCCGGTAACGGTGCTAAGCCAATACCATGAAAGTGTTTCAGCTACACATCAGCCTTTGCCATTTGACACTATGTCCAATATTAACACTTTCTTACAGATTAAGTTGGACTGGTCTGGAATCTAACATTTGGAAAAACACACTTCTCTTTTCCCAATGGCGTCTCCGTACCTTTAATATTTGTCTTCGAGAAAGCACAAACTGAACCTGAATTTATCGTCTCATCTTAGATCCTAAAATAGACAGTCGGAGGGAGAGAGAAAGTGAGAGAGACTAAGATTGTGAAACACACAATTTGTGAGAGAGACTGATTGTGCCAAAGACACATAGGCAGAAGAGAGACGGTACAGCGAATTAAAGAGTTTGCGAGTGAGAGAGAGCTAGAGAAAGAAATTGTGAATGACACAGTGTGTATGTGACAGTGAGTTTGAACGAAACAGATAGAGGAAGACTGGGAGTGTGCGAGACACAGGTGGAGATAGGGGCACCGAGAATGTGAGATGCACAGTGTTTCAGAGTGTGAGAGAGTTTATGAGATACAGAGTGTGTGTGAGAGAGACAGAGTGTGAGCAATGTGACCATAAGATTTCACATGAATTACATTAATTTGCACAAATAGCTGAACTCCTGCAGTGAAAGCCGCTATGCTTATGTAATTTGTGTTTTATATTGTATAAAATTTGCACCTTGGAAAACAGAAATATTGGCTCCCTAAACGGTCAACCGAGGTGTTGCAGAGTGAAGGCTGCCTGCCTTATCTAATTGTAATGGTCTCAAAACCCGTCAATAGAGCAGGGCTGAGAGCTCTCAATTTAGCGAATATTGTGAATTGTGCAGCTGTGAGACCAGCCAGGAGGGCAGATTTGAGATTTCAGATTAGTTTACTGTCCAGAGAAATACTGATTCAAAACACCGTTAAAGAAATTATGTTGTTCCGTTTATTTGCTTTTTCCTTCTTCAGTTAAATGTTTGAGAACTTTTTGCTGGGAGGTGCTGTGCGATTTGTGCCTCATATCCGGCAAAATTGCAAAGCTAACACCATGACAGTGGATCAGCTACACATCACCTTTTGCCGTTTACAGTTTGAGAGATGTAGAGAGAGAGTCTGCTTGAGTTTGTGAGAGAGAGAGAGGCAGAGAGCGTGCGAGAGTCACAGTTTGTGTGTTACAGAAGCTTTGAGATTCACAGATGGAGAGAGACTGGGAATCTGAGAGAACCAATGTGTGTGTGACAGATATTGTGATAGTAACAGACGGATGGAGACATACCATAACATGTAGGAGGAGGACTAGGCCATTAGGGCCTTCGAGCCTGCCCCGCCATTCAATCATGGCTGATCTTCTAATCTAACTCCAGCTAATAACCTGACCCCGCCTTATCCGTATAAACCTTAAATCACTTTTGCAGTAAGAAATCTATCCATCTCAGTCTTGAATATGTTCAAGAACTGAGCGTCAACAGCC